ACTTCCACTTTTTAAAGGATGCCTTTTTGTCTCTTACTGCTTCTTTTACTTTGTTGGTTAGCCAGGGAGGCACTTTTTTGGTTCTCTTACTATGTTTTTTAATTTGGGGTATATATTTAAGTTGAGCCTCTATTATGGTGTCTTTAAAAAGTTTCCATGCAGCTTGCAGGGATTTCACTTTTTGTGCTGTACCTTTTAATTTCAGCTTAACTAACTTCCTCATTTTTGAATAGTTCCCCTTTCTGAAATTAAATACTAGAAAGTTGAGCTGCTGTGGTGTTTTCCCCGCCACAGAGATGTTAAATTTAATTATATTATGGTCACTATTACCAAGCGGTTCAGCTATATTCACCTCTTTGGACCAGATCCTGTGCTCCACCTAGGACCACTGTTCCCTCTAAGCTGTGAGCATGTGTGCATAAACACAGATCCTAAACCCCACACACGGCGAAACACCGCGCGCACAAAAATTTGCACAGAAGCACAAACATTTGCACAGAAGAAATTTTTTGTGCACACGGCCTGTCAAAAATTAGAGGGAACATTGCTTAGGACTAAATCAAGAATTGCTTCTCCTCTTGTCGGTTCCAGGACTAGCTGCTCCAAGAAGCAGTCATTTAAGGTGTCAAGAAACTTTATCTCTGCATCCCGTCCTGATGTGATATGTACCCAGTCAATATGGGGATAGTTGAAATCCCCCATTATTATTGAGTTTTTTATTTTTATGGCCCCTCTAATCTCCCTAAACATTTCACAGTCACTATTACCATCCTGGTCAGGTGGTCAGTAATCTATCCCTACTGCCATATTCTTATGATTAGAGCATGGAATTACTATCCATAGAGATTCTGTGGTACAGTTTGGTTCATTTAAGATTTTTACTTCATTTGATTCTACTCCTTCTTTTACATATAGTGCCATTCCCCCACCAGCACGATCTGTTCTGTCCTTCCGATATATTTTGTACCCTGGTATTACTGTGTCCAACTGATTATCCTCATTCCACCAAGTTTCTGTGATGCCTATTATGTCAATATCCTCATTTAATACAAGGCACTCTAGTTCACCCATCTTATTATTTAGACTTCTAGCATTTGTATATAAGCACTTTAAAAACTTTTCACTTTTTAGTTGTCTGCAATTACATGATGTAATTGAATGGGACTCTTTTTCATTTGACTGTTTCCCATCAGATCCTACCCCTATTTTATTATCTTCCATCCTCTCCTCCTTACTAGGACATAGAGGATCTCAATTAATAGATCCTCCCCTAAGGGATGTCTCTGTCTGAACCATGTGCTCCTCCACACCTGTTGGCTTTCCCCCAGTCCTTAGTTTAAAAACTGCCCAGCGAGCTTTTTAATTTTAAGTGCCAGCAATCTGTTTCCATTTTGGTTTTGGTGGAGCCCATCCTTCCTGTATAGGCTCCTCCTTTCTCAAAAGTTTTCCCCAGTTCCTAATAAAGTAAACTCCTCCTCTCTACACCATCTTCTCATCTATGCAGTGAGACCCTGCAGGTCTGCCTGTCTAAGTGGCCCTGCGCATGGAACTGGAAGCATTTCAGAGAATGCTAATATGGAGGTCCTGGACTTCAATCTCTTACCTAGCAGCCTAAATTTGGCTTCCAGGACCTCTCTCTAATCCTTTCCTACCGACATGTACCATGACTACTGGCTGCTCTCCAGCACTACACATAAGTCTATCTAGATGTCTTGAGAGATCTGCAACCTTTGCACTAGGCAGGCAAGTTACCATGCGGTTCTCCTCGTCATTGCAAACCCAGCTATCTGTGTTTCTAACAATCGAATCGCCCATTACTAATACCTGTCTCTTCCTAATAACTGGAGTTCCCTCCCCGGAGAGGTATCCTCAGTGCGAGAGGATACCATGACATCTGGAAGGAAGGTCCCAACTATGGGATTGTTTCCACCTGCTCTAGTTGGATGTTCTCCTTCCCTGAGACATTCATCCTCCTCAACAGAACAGAGCCTGTTGAACCAGGGTTGGGTTCATTTTACTGTGTCCCGGAAAGTCTTATCTATGTACTTTTCTGTCTTCTTTAGCTCCTCCAGTTCAGCCACTCTGGGCTCCAAAGCCTGTACCTGGTCTCTGAGGGCCAGGAGCTCCTTGCACTGAATGCACACTTATACCACCTGCCCATAGGGCAGGTAATCATACATGCTGCATTGGGTGCAATAAACTGGATAGCCCCCACTCTGTTGCTGGAATTCTGCCTGCATTCTCTTTTTACTCCTGCAGCTTGTTCCTTTGTTGTTTTTGTTTTTATCAGGGGGTAGTTTTGGCTTTAAGTTTAAAAATATAAAGTGTATCTAGCCCTCCCCTCACACTCCCTCTCCAAACTCCCTTGCAGAACTCCTCTGTTACCTACTCCCATTTGCTAGCTCCTCTGATCACTTAAGAGTGGGCTTTTTAAAGCCCTGGTCTTCCTGAGTAGCCCCACCCCCTGGTTAAGGGTTGATGAGTGTTAAAGGGCTTAGGGCTCAAAGCCTCATTAAGAAGCTCTCAGCCTTGCCTAGCAGGCCACTAGGCTCAGCCCACGGTCTCCCAAACAAACAGACCACATGGTGTATTTCAGTCAGGCAGCAAGCACACCACAAACATACACACTACAAACATCCTTTCCCAGAGGATCACATAATCGCTCCTCCTTCACTCGGAGAACTCCCTCACAGAACTGAATAGCAAAGGCCTGCTACAGAATTTGGGTTTGAATCCAAGCTAAGGATGTTTGAGTCTGTGGTTCTGTGGCTGGCTTGTCTCTAATTGGTAGAATACAGCCAGTGCTAAGGCGCTGTGAAATAGAGCAATTTTGCTTCACAGGGATTCTTGTCAACATTTTCAATTTGTGTGGATTCGAAGAAAAAAACCATCTTATAGCTATTAATAAACATTGTGACAGTCGCTGGTGTTTGTACAATAAATTGTTGGGTTGGATTGTCTTTGTTTCTCATTTGCATCAATAATTATTACCTATATTACTTATATAGCACCTTTAAATTCATAGACCTTACAAAGTAGTTGTATTACAAAGACAGCTAATCAGGGAGTGGACAGATGGGAAACCAGAGGCAGGGAGAGTTTAAGTAACTGGCCCAAGACTGCATAGCAATTCAGTGGCAAACCCAGGAAGAGAGCCCAGGTGTTTTGATTCTGTACCTCATCTGCTGAATCAAGCTGTCTCCCATGATAGTTGGTTTAATATTTTCTTCTCTGTTCACACACTACATTTTAATGTTATGTATCGATCCATTTATGCCACCTGGGAGATTCCCCTACACACAAGCATTATCCTGGAAGCTGATTAAGCTAACTTTGCGACCATTTTGCATCACTAGAGTAGCACAAAGGGGCTCTATTGAGGCAAGGATCTGGCCCCAATTTTTACATAACATTCACACACAACTTCTGTGGGTGGTTTTGTGGATGCTTATTACTTTCCTGAGAGATTTTGAGAGTTAAGGTATAAGTCAGATGAAGTGTGCCTGGCATTTGTCCTCTCTGGGAAAGAGAGAGCTGTGATTTACAGACCTATACGACTCCACAGTTGCAGATGCAGAGCTTGTGAGATCCTTGCCAGGGAGCCAGGATTCAAGGAATTCAGCCAGCTGATCCATGGACATTTCATGAGAGGAAGAGCTACTGTTCACGTCTCTTTAAAAAACCAATAGAGCTTTTATGTTAGAAACCCTTAGATTACTTAAAATATCTTAGGAAGGTTGTACTGGCTTGGATCTGGGTGGAACCAGGAAGTTTGGACCCGCCCACCTCTTAAGAGGTTATGGCAAATTACCACTAATTTAAAAAAATGTATTGGTCTTGGCATGAATATTTGAGTTAGTGTGCCTGACTGAGGGTGATTGTTGATTCAGATCTTTATGCTGTTTATACATTACTGTAGATAAGTGGGAGGCAAACCAGAATAGCTATCTATATATAAAGCCCAGCCCAGTTCTATTATAGATCGGCATCTGATTGTTCATGTGTAACTTTTGTGTGTCTTGTTGCAGGAATCTTATTACTTTTTTATTGTTCATGCAGGACTGGTGCCCTTATTGACCTACTGAAATGACTTCTAAACAATGAAGTTTTATTTTATAATATGTATAAAAGGCAGAAAATGTGGAATTTAAATGTAGGCATTTTAAGCTATATGATTGGATTTACAGTCATCATCGGTTTCACTATATTTTGAACTACATGGGAGATAAACCTCACAAACTAAATCTTTTTAGTGTTTTAAAAAAATCAGCAAAACCCGTTTGAGAATTATATTCCTGACTTTATCAAAGTGATAAAGGTATGACAAATAAATTTGGTGTCTTGCTGTATAAATACTGTAGATTTCACGTTGATGTTTTCTTTACTTTTTATGAGCAGGGCTTGAAATGAGAACACACAAAATATGCAATTTTTTGAGCATTCGAATCTACCAAGTGCATTCAGTTAGCACTAATGTTAAAGTGCTCCAAAATGCACCAGGGAAAACACTTTATCAAGCTGAAGAATGAGAGTAATATTCTTACTGGTACATGTTCTCTAACTGTAGGAAATATGAAAAATGAATTGTCTTAACAGGTTTAATCTCTTGTTTTGGATCAGGCAAGAAATACAGCAAAGCTTATAAAACTGAAGAACATAACTATATACCATAAGAACACTGAAATATTTACAATACAATTTGGCATTGAATATTCAAATCTCATTTATCCCCATCAGTGTCATTTCTTCAAGATCTATTAATCACATTGAATTTCTATTGATTATGCATACATTTTAAGGCCAGAAGGGGCCATTATGATAATCTAGTCTGATCTTCAATATATAGCAATCTGCATTACTATGAATGAGGGCTAGCTAGCTCTGTATTAATATGCCTATTAAGGAACCTATTTGTCAAAAAAACATTCCCTGTATCTTTTTATCTGTATTGTTACAGACATATATGCTGACAAGTATTTTGAAATAAATTACCAAAATAATTGAAATTGGCATGATTTTATTGTGTTATTTTGACAAATAAAATATGCAGAATATTAAAATATTGTGTGCAGAATTTTTTAATTTTCTGGCACAGAATTTGCCCAGGAGTATAATGGTTACTTGAGATATGACAGAAATGATTTTGGATTTGGGGAAGCAAACGGTGGATAGGGTAAGGATTATAGCTGCCCTGGTGATGAGAGTGTGTGTCTGTCTTTTCTCAGTCGTTAACTCAGTTTGCAGTTTTGGTTAGATTCCCCAGCTACTCTTAAAGGGTACATCTGTACTTCAAGTGCATACCTGCACTAGTTTTAATCTAGCTGGTGCAGGTAACAGTGGTAATGATGATGCGACCTCATGGGTTAGCTGCCCCAGTACAAGCCCACCAGGGAGTCTGGGTATATACTCAGATTGCTGGTCGATGCTGGGGTCCTAGGCACCATGTCTTCACTGCTATTGTTACCCACACTAGCTAGATTAAAGATAGCATTGTTATGTCTAACACATTCCAAATATATCTTAATTTCTGGTGTAGACATACCCTAAAGTGACCAAATAGCAGCAGGAGCCAAGACTGCTTTTCTCCATCTAGCTTGGCGGTTGCAATCATTCCTCTGGTGTGTGGATCCATCATCCATGCTTTTGTTACCTTTAGACTGAACCACTGCAGAGTAGGTGGAACTATGCCTCAGATAAATTTGATCACTGAAACTGGTATAGAATGCAACAGCCTTCTTGATTAAGACCTCTCACCATGGGCATGTTGTACAAGAGCTCCTTGATTAGATCTGGCTGCCTATTGGTAGGCCTTAGGTGCTAGCTTTGATTGTAGGATTCATGACTTAGCACCTGCCTACCCTAGAGAGCACCACTCTTCCTTTGTGACATTGTTGCCATTGAACTCAGCATAGGGGCTCAAGTAGGAGCATCCTCACATTAACAAAGAGGGGGCTGCTGGTGGGGGATTCTCTGCAAGGGGCTCTCAGCTTTAGAATCTGAAGTCCCAGCTGGCCTGAAATAGCCCAGAATAAACTGCACAGCCCATCTTATTTTACCAGGCTTTCATGAAAGGAAGGATGTGATGAGGGCTGATAATATATGGGTGAGGTAGGATATTGTTGGGCTCTGATTTTTATTTACTGGTTGGTAGTTTTCTAGAGTTTTGGGTTACAACTAAACAACATAAATTATCCAGCTCTATTCAAAATGTCCATGCATCACTCAGATTATCAAGGCTGTACTGCCCTTTATTTGTTTTACTTTATAAGGAATTGCTTTCCCCTTCCAGACATTTGTTAGTGAAATGTGTTTATGCCCTGATTTTTCAAAGGTGCTGATGTAGCCTGCATTGATTTCAACAGGAGTTGTGAGTGCTCAGTACCTTTGGGACAGAAATAAGCTATTAATATCTAATTGCCACTTAACAGCATTTTAAAGCCATTTTCAATCCCCTTTTCAATGATCTTAATCAGAAAGTCAAGTATTAACATAATCACACATCGAATCTGGGCAACAAAGTTCTGGAATATTGTAATCTGGCAACAATGCATGGCACTGTTAATTCTAATGCTGTGCACTTTCATGATTAAGCTGAAAATCCCTGTATGCTTTGGCACAATCCCAGGTATCCTTACCAAGATTTTCTGTAGAACTACTGTTGCTTTTACCCAGGGTTTTTGCAATGGTAACATAGTGACGGCCCTGATCCTGCAAACGCTTATCGACGTACTTCATGTGCGTAAAGTTAAGTAGTCCCATTGAAATCAATAGGTCGCAGTCGAATTCTGTGCTTAAATGTTTGCAGTATTAGGACCTTGCTTTGTACCTCATAAACATGCTTCAATCAGTACCAGTACTTAGTAGAAGACCCCATGTGGCACTTCAATGGGAGCTTTGCCAGTATAAAGACAGCGGAATCAGGATCACTATTTGTAAACAAAACCATGGTAGAAATATGCTGGAGAAGGATTTCAATGATTTGTGAGCATACGTGTGATGTGAAGGCATAAGTGTGAAATTTCAAAGTATTTTTATTTCTTGCGAGTCTGAGCTACTGGGAGGACATTGGCCCCGACTTCTCTGAATAATGATGTAGTTATTGTCCTCAAGGGGACTATATGAATAAGGACAAGTTTCAGAGTAGCAGCCGTGTTGGTCTGTATTCACGAAAAGAAAAGGAGTACTTGTGGCACCTTAGAGACTAACAAATTTATTTGAGCATAAGCTTTCATGAGCTACAGCTCACTTCATTGGATGCATCAAATAAATAAATTTGTTAGTTTCTAAGGTGCCACAAATACTCCTTTTCTTTATATGAATAAAGGTTCCATAATCAAGCTCTTAGAAAAACTTTTGTTACATTTACAACTAGATAGAAAGACTTAAAAATATAATTTCAAAAAAATGTTGAGATGATTCATATGTAGAAAAGATATTTTAGGGATAAAATCCATGCAGAAAAAATGTGGGTAATTTAAATGATCAAAATTTCAAGTATTCAAAAAATTTCAGTTAATCTGTGAGCTGGTCAAAACCCAGCAATACCATTTTACAGAAATTTTTTGACCAGCTCTAATTTCAACCCCCCTCAAGTATAAATCTCCTGTGCACCAGTCTTCCCTTAGACACCAAGATCTAATTTCTGTGTGCGTAGGCACAGAATTTCAATGAGAGTTGCAACTGTGTACCTAAGGGTCATCTACTTTGCAAGGGGAGGCAATATTGGAGCTCAGGTAGGTACATTCCTGCTAGCTTTAAACTAGCTAGCTTGGCAGACAGATTCTAGGCAGGCTTGTACAGCCTGTGCCAGAGTATTTTTTTTTAGCCATGCTAGCTCGATTAAAGCTAGAGCGGGTATGCCTATCTGAGCTACAATCACACCCCCAACTGCAGTGTAGACGTACACCCTAAGGCAGAATCGGGCCCTTAGAGCTAAAAACTAATTTCTACCCACATTCCATATCTTCATTGACACGCCACAGTTCTGAAAAGAAGCCATTTCCCTTACTTGCCCCGAAGAACTTGGCAGCTTTTTCCCATTGCCAAGTAGCAAAGATGTGAAATGTTCCTTCTCTCATTTCCATCACGTCAAGACCTCTGAACAGAGTAGCCTGATTTAACACTGATGATGCACAGCAACTCATTCCAGCAATAAATCAAAATAGTTGCGCAAAATAAATTAGTTTTCATCAGTTAAGCCAAAACATTTTAATTAAAAAGACAAACCAGTATGACCTTTCACTGCAACCTCCCCACCTCCCTGAAATTACTGTGGCATTATTTGGCTTGATGCTTTTAATCCAATTTAAAAAAGAGAGAGAATGTACTCTACTACCCCAGTGTAAATCTGGAGTAACTCTTCAGTGGAGTTACTCTGGATTTACACAGAGGTAACCACGCTGGGAATCTGGCATGCTGCCAATAGGAATGTTCATTTTAAAAATCATTGGGTAACATTGCTTTCCCTTAGTTTTCTTTCCAAGGGATTGTTTGGTCTGGAGTGCCACCTGCAGGTTGCTAGGCATGTAACCTCAGGTGCTTTCCGTGTTCTTTGCTGAATGAGTTATAAATAGGGCCCTACCAAATTCAGGGTCCATTTTGGTCAATTTCATGATCATAGGATTTAAAAAATCGTAAATTTCATGATTTCAGCTAATTAAATCTGAAATTTCATGGTGTTGTAATTGGAGGGGTCCTGACCCAAAAAGGAGCTGTGTGTGTGTGTGGGGGGGGGGGGGGGGTTGGGGCAGCGCAGAAGTAAGGATGGCACGGTATGGTATTGCCACCCTTCTGCGCTGCTGCCTGCAAGCTGGGCCCTCAGTCAGCAGCCGCCACGCTCCGGCCTCCTAGCTCTGAAGGCAGCAGCGCAGAAGTCAGGCTGGCACGGTATGGTTTTGCCAACCTTACTTCTGCGCTGCTGCTGGCTGGGCGCTGCCTTCAGAGCTGGGTGCCCGGCCAACAGCTGCCGTTCTCTGGCCACCCAGCTCTGAAGGCAGCACAGAAGTAAGGGTGGCAATACTTCAACCCCCCTAAAATAACCTTGTGACCCCCCTGCAATTCCCTTTTGGGTCAGGACCCACTATTGGAGAAACGCTGGTCTTTGTGAAATCTGTATGGTATAGGGTAAAAGCACACAAAAGACCAGATTTCATGGTCCGTGATGCATTTTTCATGGCCTGAATTTGGTAGGGCCCTAGTTATAAATGAGCTGTTCTTACATGAGGCTGGATGAGAGCTTGATCATGAGAGATACTGACCACCTGCAACTCAGCATGCAACTCCTACCTCAATGGGAGTTGGGGCTGCGCAGTATCTCTCAGGATAAGAAATCTAATTACAGCACAAAACTGAACGTTAATTTCCAAGGAGATAATGTAAATTACAAGCTGCACAGACTAGTCTTGGACACAGTGCTGAGCACATCTCTGTGTGCTTAGGTGGGGCAGCATTTGTTCCCCTTTGTAGCCAGCAAGCTGTGCTGGTCATTGTAGAGGGAGGGGAGCACCTGGTCTCCTCTCTACCTCTGTTAGATGCTGGGGTGGGGGAGGAAGGGGAAGCAGTCCTTGGGCCCAGGAGAGAGCCTGGACTGTCAGGGTGAGGGGACAGAATGATGGTTATGTCACCCCTGCTTTGTGCAACTCTATACAGTTGTTTTGAGCCCATTTACTATAGAAGACTCCTGCATCTCCTCGAGGGTCAATGGCAAAGCACTGAAATGGAGCCAGGCCTCCTTTCGGGATGCTCGCAGATTGTGGTGTTCCTTCATCTCCTCCAGAGAGCTCAGCTGTGGCATCCCACAAGGATCAATTTTCTCTCCAGCCTTTAAAACATAGGTGAAACCATTAGGGGAACTGTGTGTTGCCATAGTCTTAAATGGCAGCAGGTGGCACCTCCCTCTACCTCTCCTTTACTCCCCAGCACAGAGAGCACCAGCTCCAAACTGTCCCTATGCCTTGCTGAAATCCCATCACCTCACCTTCTATTGAGGGTGGCTAGCTCTCAGTTGTCAAATTGTTCCCCACCTTTTCAGTGCTTTTGGACTGCCCCCTGCTGCTGGAGTCTGAAATATAGGCAACTACAGAAAAATGCCTTTCCACTGAAGTCTGGCTAGAGCATTGTGCCCTATTGTATTTGGGTGATGACTCTGCTACAGTGATCCATACTTTTGGGATCTTCAAGCTGGATTGCTAAAGCCCTTTTCACCTTGGTCTGAGCACTCCAACCTTAAACAGCTAAAATTAGTCCAGAAAACAGCCATCCTCTTCGCATCATCTCAGTGCTCTGCATTGTACTCCCATTCCCTGGTCAAACCAAAGTCTTCATCCTTGCCTTCAAGCCCCTCCATAGAATTGAATCTAGATATCTTAAAGAATGCTCCCTCTTTCAACATGATGATGATCTTCCTGGGCAACGACATTCTTCAGGAACTATGAATCTGTTAAACTCAAGGGTGAAGCTTGTAAGAATGGGAGACCAGGTTTTCTGGGCAACCAAAACTTGGAACTTACCACTGAAGGAGATCAGAATGACTACCAGTGCCTCCAGAGTAGAGTGTAAAACCCTCTTTGTGTTAGTGTTCCCCCAGACACAACTAAATCAGATGAAGAGAAAGAGGAGGGCAGTGGTAGCAGTAAAAGGAAGGAGAGGGGAAAAAGCAAATTTAAAAAATGGAAAATTTTACCCATTTCCACAGAAGTAGGGAGAAAAATTAGAACAGAGATTTTCATCATCTTGGTTTTTACTTTTGGTGAGAAGTTCAGACATTGATGTGATGGGGAGTATGATAAAACCCTAGCTAGACAAATGGAACACAAGGGACTGCTGCTATCTAGTGCAATGATTACTTTGAAATTAAAAATATAATGTTATCTTGCATCTGGCAAGATCTTGTGACCAATCTTAGATAGGTTAGGGTTTCTTCTCTGGCAGTGACCTTGTTCCCTTTGAAGTTAATGCCATTTTCTTTGATGGGAGCATGATTGGACCCTGTGATCTAAACAGCACATGTTTATATCCATTCTAATCACTCCGAATATTATGAGGATTTCCCCAGAAGTTTTTTAAGCACAAGGTCCACCTTTGCTCATGAAAAAATGTCATGCAATACAGTGATATCAGGAAAGGCTTTGATGCTTTGTAACTTCATTACTGTGAGACTCTAAAAAGATTGTTAGCTTGAATCCTGCCACATATCTTGTTAGGGATATTTTCTTTCTAACACTAGGAGGGCTGGAACTCTTGGTCAAGTTTCTTCTTTTGTCTTCCGCTGCTGAGGAAGTAATCCATGTTTATTAGAGTTTTGCCAGTTTCAGTGTTCATTCTACTGCCGATAGTCTGGTTGGTGGTGTTGGGAACGTTGTCTGAGAACACAGGCATATACTCAGGCAGTTGCTCCTGCTCCTTTTTCTTACCCTGGAAAAAATAAATGGAAAGACCCTTGCTTAAGATTATGGGTAAAATTTTCAACAGCCTCTAATTCCCATTTTCAAAAATGAAAATGAAAGTCAATGAGACCTAAGACTCTAAGTCACTCAGATATTTTTAAAAAATTTACCTGACATTTTATTTACTGAATTTATGTGAAAATGTTCTGTAGAGACAGTAAAATTAATCATTATTAAGCTAACTGAAATTGGTGATGCCCCATCAGCTTCCAAGAAGACACACCTTAATTTGCTGTTGAAAAGTGGTATACCATCTTATTCACCAAGGGTCAGCAATCTTTAAAGAAGCAGCATCCAAGAAGTTAGCTCTCTGAACCAATCAAAGAATAGTCTGAGCACATGGTAAGTTAACGCACCGACTTTCATCCAGATAAAGTGGTTTCAGATTGGCTGGTTGAATCATCCATTTTTACATTTTTTTCCAGCTATTTGGTATTTTAAAATATAAATGGTCCTGTGTCCTTACACAGGCAAATTTCCAGTTACTCCAAGGAGGTGTTTTGGCTGAGTAAAGGCTGCAGGATTGGATTCAAAGCCATTGGTTTACATTCTTGTGATAAGATAACACTCCCCCTCTTAGAATACAGGCACCTGGGGGTGGGAGGAGGGGGGAATTCTGCTTCAAGCCAGGACCTGATACTGCTCCCATTCACAGTGAATGTGAATTTTATCACTGGGAGCATGACTTCACATTCAAACCCATTGACTTCAACAGCATTGCATGGGCTGTCAATCAGGACCCACTCTGGTGGTGGTGATGGCAAGAACATAAGATGGAAGATATCCTCCACCCCCAAGTCATCAAGTCCAGTACCCTGCTATTATAGGCAACCACATCATATAATCCCATTTATAAACTTGTCGAGCAAGATGATGATGGATTTTTTAAAATAAATGACTCAGATTCTATTGTGCTGACAATATTTCTTCCTAGGCTGATTCTTCAAGCACCCTTTTAAAATGTCCGTCCTTTTATGGCATTTGTACTTGATTCAAAACCGAGGTGAAATACACACACAGTGCATTCCATCTGCTTAGAATAAGAATAGCAGATGCATGGCACTTCAGATTTCTTAGGCATATTTCCCTGCAGTTTTTAATCTTAAACAATTTGACAAATTACTTTCAAGGATGGCTCAATTTAGAATATTAGCCTACTAGACACTCTGTTGTAAACCAAAAAAAGCCTGGATTACAGTTAGTAAATTTATGTGTAACCTACCATTGGATCATAGTCCTTCATGAAACCCCAATTCTGGTACCTTGGAGTAGAAAAAAAAAGTTTTTAATTTACATGACTCATTCCTGTTCCGTACTTTAGTTTCATAAATTTTCTATGATTTAAAATAAACCTGATTCTGTATCATAGAATAAAGCTGCAAAAGTCAAAGAATAGCGATTCTAAGTGATCCGTTAATTTTAGGGTTCTTTTCTTTTTAAAAGAGAAAATGAGCAGGCTCAGCCCCTGATTAAGAGATTATTTTGGCCTATTTAAAATGTATAAATATTTGCAGTGACTATTGATGTCCCTTTGAGCAGAAGTGGGTATTAATGGAAGACCCCCATCACAATTGGGATCACCCTGTGCTAGGCAGGATACAAACACATAGTAAGACACAGTCCCAGTAACAAATAATAAATGAAAGGTTTTCACTCCCACTTTCTCAGGACAAACTCTTTCCTCTCAGCAGAAGTAGTCAGATAATTACAATAGTGATTTTGTCTTTTAATACAGACCAGGGTTTTGTGGGTCACTGCTTTACTGATCTCTCTCTCTCTCTCTCTCTCTCTCCAGATAATTTTTACCTCAATTGTGTGACTAGAATATCTTGGTACAGTCAGACTTTATTCTAGAACCAAGCTGTACATTCTTCTCAGAATGAATCCAGCTCTGAATTTGAACACAACTGGGCCACAAGTTGTTAATTCATGTTCTTATATGGTGCTCATCACTGTGGTACCTGAACAATGAGAATCACACACACACAGTGGATACAAAGAATTGTTTCACATGGTGCAGACATGCATCTGCTCTCAGCAGGAGCTGCAAACATCTCCATTTACTGAATTGGCTGAAAGTTCAAGAGTGTCAGCTTCAAAAACTGGATGAGCTCTTGTGTTTCAAAGACATCTGCGTTTATGGTTGCTGGCAAATGCTCCCTTGCCAATCTCTCCTATCATGCCAATAATAGATGCTGCTCTGATGTCCATCTTTGCACCCTTTTTCTCACAACAAAAATTCCATTTCCAACAACCCAGAGATCAGCTGGTGTCAATTAAAAGTTATTACTAACAATACCCAAACTTTGACATAGAGTAATCCCCAATCTTAGCCAGAATTCTAGGTATTCTACCTTGATTTTTCTGGTTAATAGCCATGTTAATAGAAAGAAATTCCTCCTAATAAGAACAAACATAGAGGTATTCTGTATGGTTTTTCACAGCCCTACAGGCTGTCTACTTTAAAAATAACAGTAAGGCAGAAGCGCCTGAAGTATGTGTTCTCCTTAGAAAAGTAACTCAATAAAGAGAAGTTTTTTGCTGTTGTGTCTGCCATTTGAGAGTCTATTTAAATTCCAAATCTGATGTTTTCAGTCCATCCATTTCCTGCTGCTCAGACTAGTTTAACAGGAGAACAGTTTCTTACAGTCATAAAGCTCTCTGTGTTTTACACCTCCCTCCTGCAATGAGCACATGGCTTTCATTGTTCATGCTAAGCTTTATTTGCAGGTAGGGGAGCAGCCACCTGCTACAGTGTTTTGTACAAATGGACAAACTGGAAGCTGTGACATGATCACAGGATTGTGAGTCAGGAAACCCGAGTCCTATTCCTGACTCTGCCACTAATTTGCTTTGTGAGTTTGGGCAAATCCCTTCACTTTCCCCATCTGTAAAATGGGGCTAATGACAGTATAGCCATCTTTCTAAAGTGCTTTGGTATCTGTGGAGAGAAGGTGCTATCTAAGGGCTTGCCTTCCTGGTAAGTTACTGCACAGCAATCCACAGTGTAAATCTACAGCTCACCAGCTTGCTGTGCAGTAACTCACCATGTGGACACTGCTACTGTGGTGTGGAAGTCCTGCAGTGCAGTTTAGCATATAATAATAATTAATTGGCATTGTATTTATTATTATTATATTTTCATATCTCAGTAGCGCCTAGAGGCCCCAAGATCAGGGTCCCGTTGTGCTAGGCGCTGTACAAACATATCGGATCTGGAGAATACTATATTTGTATTCTGAAGTACTAGTAATCAAGGACTGCCTAGGCTTCATCATATGAAAATCAGCCCATTGGTCTCATCTCCTTAGACCCTCTTTCATTCCCAGGCTACCAGAATGGAGAGGACTTCTCCCATCCCAAGCTCTGTGAGGGGATGTGGAGCTGCTGGTGAGCTTTGTTCCTCTCACCTGGAGGCTGAGTTGAAAGAGGCAAAGAGAAAAGTTAAGAATATGTCCCTGAGGAAAGAAGCAATCACTGCTAGGGTTGGTGTCATCTGCAGGAGGCTGGTGGGAGAAGGGGAGCTATCAAAAGATCTCTTCCCTCCTTTCCACTGAATCCAAGGGAAGGTCATGGTAGCTGATTACCCACTTATTACCTTGCTTCCCTGGTGTCTGGCTGGATGAGGCTGGCATATAATCAGAACTCAAGCTAACCTTGCTTTTACCAAACATATTCTTCCAGCGGGCATGTTGATGTTGTAAATTGGAGAATGATCACAAATAGTGTGTGTGTGTGTGAGAGAGAGAGAGAGAGATCTTAAAGCCTGTTCCATCAGCTCAACTGTGTATATATCCAATGAAAGCATAATTTATGCCCCAGGCATGCTATACACCCTGCTGATATATTAGTAACAATGGGATTTTCCCTGTGTGGGTGTGTCTATATGTGCGGGGTTAGGGGCACTCAAGAGATTTGCAGGGTTGAAGCACAAATAATTTTTTGGCAGAACACTCTGTCCAATCTCTATTTCAGCCATTTCCAAGAATTTGAGGACAGGCAATAATATCAGCATCTGTGCAATCAATTACAGATGCTGTCACATTTGTATCCTCACTGTGTGGACATCCATATACAGCTGAGCAGTATTAAGCCTGGGGTTCCTTAGTGTCTCTGTTTCCGCTCAAGCATGGCTTGCCAGGAGATACACTCCAACAGAGTATTGCCAAAAAGAGGAGAACAGAGATGGTGTTTACTCTCGGCAGTTGCAGAATTAGGGCCTGATCCAAAGTCCATTTAGTGGAAGTCTTTCCATTGACTTAATGGGTTTTGGATCAGGCCCTCAGGGTATGTCCGCACCGAGTGTAGGTGTGATTTCCAGTTCAGGTTGACATACCCACACTAGATCAATCAGAGTAAGTGCACTAAATATAGAGTGTAGCCACAGCAGTGCAAACGTCAAGCTGGGCTAGCTACCCTGAGATCCTAGGTACATACTCGCATGGCTAGCCCCTCCTGCTGCTCATACCACCGCGGCTACCCTTCTGTCTTTATCATGCTAGTTTGATCGGAGGTAGCGTAGCTATATCTACTTGAGCTGGAAATTACCTCTTCCAGCTACAGTGTAGATATAACCTAAGTCTCTGAGCAGTGGCAGTGTTAAGACAAGCACGTGAAGTTGGAATTGAGGTACTTACCAATATTTTCTTCCCCTCCACTCAGCCTCCATAAACTCCCTCCAGATCTTGTCCTGCCGAACCTGGTCCTTCCGTAGTGCTGCCTGCTCCTCCTCCCGGGCCCGGGCTGCCTGTTGTGCTAAGACCTGACTGGCAGGCAGAGCTTTCCCATGCTGGGGGGTGCTGAGAGAAGGAGACGAGGATGAGGCGAGGTCCACCAAAGGTCTGGCTGCTGGTAACCGGTACCTGGCGGAGGTGGTTCTCCTGAATCCAGTTGATCTGCTTCCCATCTGTGTCTCCCCTGTGATGCGATATGTTGTCACCACTAGGAAGGCTAAGAGGAGATGCTCTCTAAGACCATCCAATCCCACAGCTCTCTCTCCTTCATCCCTTTCTCTCCTAGCACTTTCTTTCAGGATCTGGCAAGCAATCTGCACTAAGACCCCAACCTCCAACAGGCAACCTGTGTGCTATTTTGTTTCCCCTTTACTTAATAACCCTCTTCTACTAGGCAGCTGATTTGTGTTGCTCCATTGGGTGACTGCTAAGAGAAGCATTATTGTAATAATAATCTTAAAAAGAACAATCCTTACCAAAGGCTAAAGATACCAGCTGTAGCCAGCAAGTCCTAATTCTCAGCTTCTGAAACACCAGCTACTGCTGTGTAAAGTCGAGACCATGCCACGTTGATTGCAAAGTCCCCAAAACAGCGGCTGCGTTAGTAGCAAAGCCTGGTATAGAGTGTGCTGCCAAGTTTGCCAGGCTTAGTTTTATTCTGTGTGTTCAACTGAAACAGAATCCCCTGATAGTTGCTGGTTTCCCCAGTGTGTTTACTGTCTCCATTGGAAACCAGGCTGGCTCATGAATATTTATCCCAGAGGGAGTGGAAACCAATGCAGACAGCTGCTGGGGACTTAGCTTTGAACTCTCATCAGGACGGAATTTCTGTTTGTTTAGAATAAGGTCTTTCCAGGGATCAATGTTAGTTTCACACTTTGAAAGCCTCTTAATTTCAGGCCTGACTAAGAAAACTCCCATTGAAAACTCCTGCAGGCCTCAACAATCAAAAATTGGTTCAGGAGGAGTGACCTTTAATTGCTTACTGCTCTCTGGGCAAGGAGCTGACCAGCTGCTAAAAGTCCCTGGGTGTGCTGTGACAGACTATCACATCTAGCTGGGGGTTGAACATTAAAACTGTCCTCCAGCCTCATCTTCCTTATAAATGCCACTGAACTGAAGAAATGAGCCATTTCCCAGTCTACTCTGTTACTTTGCTGGATTTCTCCTATGGGTCTGCTCAGTGACTTGCATCCCAGATTGCTCTTCAGAATATGGTACATGTGGCTGATTAGCCATATGGGGTGATACTGCCATTCAGTGGTATTTACAAGCAAGCTGAAGCGGGAGACCATTTTTAACTTTGAGCCTAAGGTCCAATGTGTTTATCAGTCAGTGCACTCCGGAGTTCAACTCCTGACAGATCAGCAGTGGGGTCTCTGAGGGAGGAGAGAGATCTATATCTCTATTTAGATCTGAATCTATATATAAACTTACAGTGATTGCCTGTAAAAGGTCAGAATTTGCCAAGAGACGCCTTCCACTTACCACAATTACTTCTTATTTTGAATATAAGAAAGGAGTCTGGAATCCCAGATGTCTCATTACAATCTTCAAGCCACCTCCTATGTGTAGAATACTCCCCCGATTCTGGTTCACCAAGCCCCTGCCAGGTCTTTATTCACATCCCTCCTTAAGACCCATTTCTTCGGTGATGTCTACAAGAAGTGAGTCAATAATAATTTAAAATTAGATAAAAATCATCCAGGTGGGTACATAGTTAAACCGGAACCCCTACTAATTAGAACCCACTCCCAGATACCTTTGTCTGTACTCTGTGTAAAGTGACATTCTAAGGCTCCAATCCTGACTTGGGATGCACAGGTGAGGACTCTTGCACCTGTACAGAGCTCAGTTTAAGTGAGTGCATTCTTGATGCAGGATCAGGACCTATGTGTCCATCTCAGAGACAGACAAGCAACTAGTGATTTAAACAGATCTTTCTGACTCTGACCCCACTAGTTGAGAAGACAGGGGAGTGTTTATCGAATTGGGAATTTTGGTCTTAAACCAAGGTAGGCTAGGTAGGAGTATACATATGGGACTGGGTGTCTCCTAGCATTCAGGCTGCTTCTCTGGACACAGTATGCACTGGGATGGTGGTTGTGACATGCCTGTAAAATAAAAGGACTTTAGAAAACATTACAATACTATGATTTTCTGACATATCTACTGCTTCAGAAACAAGGCGATCAAGAGCTAAAGATGGAACTTTATGCTTTAAATTACTCCACTTTCTTTAGGGATTAGAAGTCATCAAGCAGGGGTGCTTCCATACCATTAACACACAGCAGGGTGAGTTTAAAGGTGATGTTTTGACATTCCTCTGAAATTCCTTGCTGTATGTTCAAATCATCACTAATATTATGAAATAAAAAGAATGGTTTAAGGAATGCTTGCAGATAATGCACTACTTTCCCCTCTTATCATGTACCTGTAAACATTTCTGATTACCCAGAAAGGATATTGTAGTGGGGGGCTCATTTGGAATTATGATGGTTTTTGTTTTATGCTGCTCTCTCTTTATTAATGTATGTTGATGCTTACTGGGACTTGATGTAGGTATCCACGTAATCTGATTCTAATGTACAAATAGGACTTTTTTTTGTGGGGGACTGGGTACTGGACATTTTAAAAAGGGACACTCTAAGTGGCAGAAACTCTGGTCAGGAGTTAACTCTATGTAGTTTGTTCCACAGGCCTGTGTTTATGTAATGGCAGCATCCAGAACTCTCAGGTAGAGTTTTAATGATGTTCTTGATTTATAATGGTGATATGAACTGTAAACGTTTATTTGAAAAAATCATATCATTTCATTCTTTTCTACATGTGTATAATTTGCTTTTTTTCTCCCTAAGAAAATGATGTTTTACGATGTTTTTCTGTGGGGGAAAAAATCTCAGCTGTTTAGATATTAATTTTACTTGACCACAAGAGGAGGTTATAGTTTAAGCTATGCAAAACTTGAATGGATGGCTGTGGATAACATGCATTGCTTTTTTAAAAAAAAAAACCCCATTATTTTAAACTACATAATTTCTCCAAAATGTAAACTATTTAAACTATGCAATAGTTAGAAAAATCAGACTGTGTAAGTCAATATCAGCTGTATTTTTTCTTATCTGGAACCAGTTTATGCTTTGCTTTTGGTTGAAATTATTTGAGTTGGTAAATTTATTGCTAGAACTCCCATCCCAATCCCATAATGAGCTCCATGAGGCGCAGGGGTGAGCCTGTGTTATTCTCATTGAAGGATAGGGATTACAAGTCTTGTCCTTAAACACTGTATTGTTTCATGGAAATGGTTTGGAAAATTCAGAGAATTTTCATCTATCGGCAGAGAATTTTGTCTTTAGAAGTGGGGAGGGAGGGAAGACGGTAATGAAGTCAACATGGTAGAAAAGTCAGTGTGTATTGGCAAATGGCAGAAAATATCTGTTTCCTTCCAGTCTATGGCACTCTGGTCTTGTGGTCAGAATTCCACGGCTTGGCCTTTGTGCTCAGGCTGATCTCCATCAAAGTTAGTGTGATTCTGTGCAGAGGCAAGGTTCTGCCCATGGGATTTGGTTTCAGGACTAAGGGTCTGGAATTCTTCCCAATGTGTTTGTTTTTCAGAAGTCTCTTTTTTATATTTACGTTTCCATACATTGCAGAATGGTACCGTAACATGCAGTGTTCTTTTCCTCTCCCCGCACTCACGAATGTGTTGGGATTTTTTTCCTGTATAAATAGAGACTTTTTTTTTTATATTGAATGAAATATGCATTCTTCTAAACTCTCAGGATTGTCACGTTTGCTGTGGTGTTTTGTGAAGATGAGAGCAGAGGAGTGGGGTAGTGTTGCCAACCCTCCAGGATTGGCCTGGAGTCCCCCAGAATCAGCATCGATCTCCCGGTGACTATTGAACGCAATCCGGGAGATTTTAATAGGATCAGTCAGAGTTGGCAACCCTAGAGTGGGGGATAGGAAGAAGTCTGGGTTCTTCCATTCTTGGGCCTGTCGCTGAATTGCAAAGTAGCCTTGGTCAGGCATGTCATGTAACCTTTCTTTGCCTTTTATATTGTATAAAGCATTGTGCACAAACTATAATTAAAATCATAGGTGAGAAAACTACAAAAAGGCCATTTAAAGTGTTTGTCAACTTGCCGGGAAGATTGCCATAGATATTCCATGGTTTAGGTTGAGATTCCTAGAATTTAAGGCCAGAAGGGATCATTATGATCATCTCCTCTGGCCTCCTGTATAACACAGGCCAGAGAGTTTGAGGAGAGAGCATTACAGAGTAGAGTTGTGCCTCTTGAAGGAGAAAGCCATCCATCCTACCACCATCTTGAGATTATATCTGGGAACACTAGGCCTCTGGTCATCACTGGTCTTAATTACCATCGTGGGGCATAAATTAAGACACAGTTTATTAGGTCCCATGTTACTAAAAGAGATTATATATAAAATCTTGAAGTATACTTGTGAGATAACAGGCAGCAGGTGCAGTTTGCAACATATTGGCCTCAGACTCTTGTAGACAAAGGCCCTAGAGCAGTTGTGTTGCTGTGTTCTTCTGTGGCTGAAATTTGAGTAGTTTTCAGTTGGTGTTCCAGATAAAGCACATTGCAGAAATCCAGCCAAGAGGCAGGAAGGCATAGACAGCCATACTAGGCCTTTATTATTTTGTATATGACGTTCATAAATGCTTAAGGAACGTTTTCATCACTAGAGGGAGCTTTTGCACTTAGATAATAGAACAACATTGCTTTATCTTATTTTATCTTTCCATTTCCCCCTGCACAATTGGTCTAAATAATTCCAAGAGCACTTAATTAGTTACTGGGATAACATGATCAATTATTTATGAAAGGACTATGCTTGATATCAGTTTAATAGGAATCTAGAGTAAGGCAGCAATCTCATCTATACCCACAAACACAAGGAGTCATTATTAGCAGGCAGGTGTTTTAAGGAGATCTGCTTCAGGTGTATCTGAATTGCCTTGTCACCATTCACACCAATGTTCTCATTCTGTCTCAGTTGGATAGTATTCAACTCGGGTGTAAGATCGTATTCGTAGCAGTATGTTGCATTGTGGATTATGATATTTCAGAGCCTATTTTAATTTTTAAGATGCCTTTTCGCTCTCTTTCCAACTGTCATCCATTAGTTAGTTGCAATCCAAAGTATCCAAGAGCATTTTCCTCGAACAGCCCCTAAGAAGGTTTCCATTTTGCTATCTCCTCACCACGTTCAGAAAGGGGGAGCAGCTTTGCTTTCTTCTCATAATTGCTTTTCTGCATCTGTTTGAGTGGTTGGTTGCCTAATAGAGTCACTGTAGCTCAGCTTAAATACAATAAGGTCAGAGTTTACAAACTTGAGTGCCCAAAGTTCATCACCTAAGTGCCAGTTTAGGCACCTAAATAAAAGTGGCCTGATTTTCAGAGGTGCTCAGCATGTGCAGCTTCCACTGACTGAAAATCAAACTACTTCTCTTGAGGCCCCCGAATATGGATCTAAGGGCCTAAAATTAGGCACGCAGGTTTGAAAATTTTGACCACAAGTTTTACTTGTTGTAACAAAACATTTTTAATGCTTTAATTGTAGTTGTCTACTTATGTGGCTTAGACATCACTTACCTTTTAAAAATAGAAACTCTATTGTTAAATCCCCATGCTTCAGGGCTTCAGCCAACCTCAAACTATTGGGGATTAGGGGGAAACTTTCACTCAAGAC